AATCCTATGCCATCAGGCATGCCTTCACTGCTGATCAGCTTTCCTTATCCGAACATTCTCATCCTGTGAAATCCCTCCAGCGGCGCTACATTCATCTCCGGCAGATTCCCTTGAAGCAGCATGATAACGTAAGCCCCCTTCTACTCATAGGAGCTGATCATACCCACCTTATCACTCCAACACTGCCTGTAAAGTTAGGCCCCCCCGGAGCCCCTGTAGCAATCAAAACCCGTCTCGGCTGGACGTTACAGGGCCCTGCTAGAGATCTTGTTAGCTCTCCCTCCACCAAGTGTCACTATATCTCCTTTAAATGCCCACCTGATGACATCCACCACAATGTGCAAAAACTGTGGCAGCTGGACACAGTGCCTCCTAGGAACACAAAATTGGTTGTCCGCTCTAAACAGGACCAAGATGCAATTCACCAGCTGGAGACTCAAACCATCCGAATTCCTGTTGATGACGTCCTACGGTATGCCACACCTCTCCTCCGAGCAGATTCCTGGCCCCCTCTAAAAGCCCCTAAGGAAGCAGTTATGTCCCGTCTTCGCAGCTGTGAGAGGCGACTGCTCCAAAACCCCTCACAGGCGGAGACCTATACCAGAGAGATCCAGAAGTTGGTTGATGCGGGGTATGTCAAGAAGTTAACCTTATCTGAAGTAGAAGATACTCCTGAGTCTTGGTACATACCTCATCACATTGTGCATCATAATGGAAAGGACCGCATTGTGTTTGATTGTTCTTTCTCCTATCAGAATCAATGCCTGAATTCACAATTGCTCCCTGGTCCAACCCTTGGGCCTTCCCTCCTTGGAGTTCTCCTCCGTTTCAGGCAGCATAGGATTGCCATCAGCGGAGACGTTAAGTCCATGTTCCACCAGGTGCGCCTGCTACCCCGAGATAAACCCCTTCTGCGCTTCCTCTGGCGTAACCTAGACATAAGATCCCCTCCGACTGTATATGAATGGCAAGTCATCCCATTTGGTACCACCGCCAGCCCATGCTGTGCCATTTACGCCCTACAGAGGATCGCCAAGGATGCACAGGCAGATGAGCGCATTACCTATTCCATACAGCATTGTTTCTATGTGGATAACTGCCTTCAAAGTCTCCCCACACAAGAGGAAGCTAAGGACCTCCTTCACTGCATGCGTGCAACCCTCTCCTCTGGTGGCTTTGAGATTAGACAATGGGCCAGTAATGACCCCAAGGTCATCTGTGATCTCCCTCCCGATGCTAGGTCAGACCAGGCAGAGCTCTGGCTGTCACACCATCCTTCCCTTGATCCCATGGAATCTACTCTAGGCCTCCACTGGAATTGCCATACGGACACCCTGAAATACAGGCACAGAGCCATTGAAGCTACTACTCCCACCATGCGTCACATCTATAGAGTTCTTGCAAGCCAGTACGATCCTCTTGGCTACATCCTCCCCTACACAACAAGAGCCAAGATCATTGTCCAGCACCTGTGGGCAAAGGCGAGAGAATGGGATGATCCAAACCTTCCCCACAACATCCTAGAAGCCTGGCTTTCCTGGGAAGGAGAACTCCCTAATCTCTCCTCAATAGTACTGCCCCGTTGTCTTATCCATTGGACAGTAAACACCCCCTCAGCCATCCAAGACCTGCACATCTTCTGCGATGCATCAGAGCAGTCTTATGGTGCAGTCGCCTACATGCGCACTGAAGATGGTCAACAGGTGAATGTGTCCTTCCTAATGGCAAGGTCCCGTGTTGCGCCCAAAAAACAACTATCTATCCCTCGACTTGAACTGTGCGCAGCCCTCATTGGAGCTCAACTGTTCAACCTCCTCCGAACAGAGCTCACCCTCAACATCAGACGGGCTACTTTATGGAGTGACTCTACCACTGTCCTCTATTGGCTTCTCTCAGACTCATGCCGCTATAAGGTCTTTGTTGGAACCAGGGTGGCTGAAATCCAGGAGCTCACCAAAGGCCAGGAATGGCGCTATGTGGATTCCCGGAACAACCCAGCTGACGATCTGACTAGAGGGAAGCAACTGTCTGATCTAAGTAAGCCTTGCAGGTGGAACCAAGGACCTGCCTTCCTCCTGCAACCCCCTGACCTGTGGCCAACTAACCCCACAATAGATCAGGCCGAAGATCCTGTCGAGCTACGTAAGCCCAGTTTCTGTGGTGCTGTATTTCTTTGCCAAAATCCTTCTATCTCCGACCCTACTCAGTTCACCACCTTTCAGGATCTCCTTGACTCTACTGCTGCATCCCATCATGGGGTGGCAGAACCTCCTGCAACACCATCGGCAGCAACCTACTTTGACGCAGAGATTGCAATCCTAAGACAGTCCCAGCTGGATTCCTTTGGAACTGATTTGACATGCCTTCAGACCCACAAACCCCTTCCACATTCCAGTCGTCTTCTTTCCCTTGCTCCGGAACTAGATCCAGTGTCAGGTCTCATTCGAGTAGGCGGAAGGTTACGACAAAGCAATGACCTGCCCCCTGATGCCATACATCCAGTTGTCCTGGACCCTGCCCATCCGACCACGAAACTTATAATTAAACATTGTGATGACCACCTACATCATTCTGGTCCCGAGAGGCTATTCGCTGAGCTGAGGAGGCGATTCTGGATCCTGAGGGGTCGTGAGGCTGTCAGGAAACACCAGCACAGATGTGCTAAGTGCAGGCAGTTCCGTGCCAAACCCCTTATCCCCCAAATGGCCGATCTTCCTCCTGCTCGCCTACGCCTCCGCAAACCTCCCTTCTATTCCACCGGGATAGATTGTTTCGGGCCCTACACTGTGAAAGTTGGACGGCGAGTTGAGAAAAGGTGGGGAATTATTTTCAAATGTCTGACAACTAGGTGTGTACATCTAGATCTACTCAGTCACATGAATACCGATTCCTTTTTAATGGCACTAAGGCGCTTTATAGCTCGCAGAGGCAAACCTTTTGAGCTGCTTTCTGACAGAGGTACCAATTTCATCGGAGGCAACAGAGAGCTAGAGGAAGTCTACCGATCCCTGACCTCCAGGCAATCCTGGCCAAACAGAGGATCTCCTTCAAGTTCAACCCCCCACACGCACCCCACTTCGGCGGGACGTGGGAGCGTGAAATACGTTCCATCAAGATTGCCCTGCAGACCACCCTAGGTGCCCAAGCTGTCACTGAAGAGGTGCTACGCACAGTGATGATTGAAATCGAAGGTATCCTCAATTCAAAGCCCCTTGGTTATGTCTCTTCTGACGTTGCAGATCCTGATCCGGTGACTCCTAACCTGTTGCTCATGGGGCGGCATGACTCTTCCCTCCCCTTGGTAACGTATCCTGACTCTGAGCTGCGCAGCCGCCGTCAGTGGCGTCATAGTCAGATTCTTTCTGATCATTTTTGGGCCCACTTCCTCAGAAATTATCTTCCTTCTCTCCAGTCTAGACAGAAGTGGCGCACTGATAATCCTAACCTCCAACTAAACACTGTTGTTCTCATTCTTGACCCTCAGCTCCCCCGGTCCCTCTGGCCAGTAGGTAAAGTGATTTCCCTTCATCCCGGCAAGGATGGCCATTGTAGGGTTGCAGATGTCCAGGTGGGGGACAAACAGTACACGAGACCTGTTGCCCGCCTCATCCCACTCCCTGCCCTACCTGAACCCCCATGACCTTCCACTCAAGCAAATTTGCAAGACAAATTTGGGGGCGGCTGTTTGGAAGTTTTCCTCTCTGTCCTGCAGTTGCCACGCCCATTTTTCTTTGTCACTCAGTTCCCCATGCAGTTCACCACACCTTCAACTAATTAGCTCCAATCAGCCACAGACTTTATTAGACAGCACCTGTACACAGCTCTTTCTCTTTGTTCCTGCCACATGGAGGAATCCTTTGTATGTTGCTGCTGGAAATGCCTTGTCTCCTGCTCTGTGTGCGTTATTGAACTATGTAAGTTCCATACGTTTCTCTTTTGATCGTATGTTACTTTATGAGACTGTTCCTTTCTGTCTGTTTAAATGTACAAATGTTTGATTGTCATTCAAATGGATTGTGGCCTTGTATTGTGGCATTATGTAGCTAATTGTATCTCATATCATTTCCCTTTTAGAAACCACACATACACACACACATTACACAAACATACCTAATAAAGAAAGGCATTGTGGAATTAAAGTGACTGGACTAGACTGTTCTTACCGACACCTCCACTGGTCTCAAGCCAGCTACCTGCACATCCCTCTCAAACCTCCTTTTCAAGGGGATATAGGTAGCCTACTAATATGTTCTATAAATACAATAATAAAAAAATAAATAACTATAAATACATTTTAAGGAAAGTGTTGTGCACATTAATCTAACTGCAAATTCTGTCTAATTAAAAATGATTAAAAACGATTAAATTTTTTTTGTGGATAAATTACGTTTTCATTCAGTCCAGAACCCACTCCCTTCATATAAGAAATGGTGTTTGAGTGTGAGGTGCGCTGTAAGAAAACAAGAAAAGCTGAAAAAGCATTGCTTGTTAAGTTTATTATTTTTAATATCAATTTTAATGTAATATTTATAATTTTTCTGTTATTTATATTATATCTCATAACCCTAACAAAAACCTCTGCAGACACCTAGATTTAAATAGAAATATGATTTGACCTTTTTTAGCTGTGAGATCAGCTCACTAGTCAATGTTCAACACTCTTCATTATATCAGTGCAGGCATTAATACCTCACATGTGTAGTCAAACCTATAGACTAACATAATTATGTACAGTGGAGGAAACTTGTTAAATTAAAATGGATGAAATTGTTGTCTATTCACCACATCACAATTCAGCGGAGAGGACAAGAGCCTCAACCACAGCGCTACCTTGCAGATACTAATTTATTCACATGCCCCTTCTGCACATCTCAAATATGTAAACCCAGACATTATCATCAAATAGTGGCCCATATAGCTGGGCATAAAATAAGGCCCCAGCAGCACCTGATCCACCACAACAAACTCCTTCGCTGGCCCCAGCAGCACCTGATCAATGAAACTTGATATACTGTATTATTAATGTGTTTTTATGTCATAAATTTATCAAGATCGGTCATGGAAATCCAGCAAAGAAAGAGAAGGCGGACTGACAAGCCACACAAAACTGGTATGATTTATTTTGTTTGAGGTGCTCTATTATTTATAGTAAATGTTGACTGTTATTTACTGATGTTCTTCATTTGTCCCTTCATAGTGGCAACTGTTGACCAACCCCTGAACATACAGGAGGCATGTATTTGTTATTACTCAATTTATAAAATGCAAGGGAATCATTATAACCACAAGAAGTTCAGATTATGTTTTGTTCATGTATAGCTTCCTCCGCTGGTCCTTTGTGAAATCTTACTGGAGGTTGTGCTTCAAGATGGTGATGTTGCAATTGGCTCCCTTGCCCTCACCTGCAGGTGCTTCAACAGCATTGTGAGCATGGAAAGTTTCCGCCGAGAGGCTCACTTTCGGTGGTTGGACAGTAAGTTTTATTAGTGTCACTGATTGGTTAATTACAGCTCTCTCTGTTTTTCTCAGTTATGTATGGTTGAATATTAAGACAATGATGAGGTCAGCTGACAACTTTTTTTTTAGGTGTCGTGAACTGGAAGGCATTCAGTGAAAATGTCAGAAACCTGTATAGGGTTCCATACAGTCTATCCAGATGTCTCCATTTTGATACTACATACAAAGACTGTGGCGAAGGCTACAGAGGAAGAGGGCAAAGAGGTGTGTTGCAGGGGTTCTATGGCTCTGATGACTCCCCAGGATACTGCGGAGACTGTTTCTATGTGGCTGGAGGAAGCATCTAATGTTTCATGCAATGTGTTCCTCATGTTTGAACTTGCCACATTTATTGCTTATTTTATTTTATTGGATGCTCTCTTTTTTACTATTATATTAAATAGAGAATGCTGCATTTATCAATACAGTTTTTCATCATATTGGTTACAGTATCTATACGGTCAATAAAGTGATGCTAATGTTTAAAGTTTTCAGAGTCATTATTCTAAGTAAACACATTTTACCTTAATTTAAAGGTCAATACGTTTTACTTTATATATCATTTAATGTAAGCTACAAATATCACTTAAATATCAGTCATTACATATAAATATATTTTGAAAAATACAGGTGAGAAAGACCAATACAATAATTTTCACCATTGCTTTACAGTAGGATTTGGTAACTTTATTGGAAATTGAATTTTTCCTTGTTAATCACCGTTACAACTTGATTTATGTTGTGTTGTTCACACACACACAAAACGAAAATAAAACTAATGTAATTATAAATAGTTGAGTAATAAAGTAATTTTTAATACTTTTACCTTTTAAGGTTTACATTTAGAGAAAAATTGCATGTAGGTAGGAGAGAATATTATAAAATATAATACACACTCACAGGCTATAACAACATTTACATATACATTGCGACAACATTTATGTCAAAATAAAATCCAGCTACCTATTTTCTTTAAAAAGGAATTCTTTCATAAACCAAATTTCCCGTTATGTTATAAGATACAGATCTTGTATAACTATCTTATGAAAGAATTCCTTTTTATATCTTATGAAAGAATTCCTTTTTAAAGAAAATAGGTAGTTGTAGCCTGTATTTTATTTTTTACATAAATCAAATGTTGTCGCGATATAGACATAATAGTAAAAATCAAGAAAAAACCCGAGAAATAATAATAACGCATTTCCGCTTCTGAAAGTGCTATAATAAAATTTCCGCTTCTGAAAGGGCTTCCGAATCCGTACGGTTATGATTGGATGGTTGGAAAATGCCTAGACCGGTTTGAAAACGCCCATTAATTGGGAAACACCTTCTTGTTGTTCCGCAGAGACCTCTATTTGGATGAGGCGGGGCGACACTTTTAGGCGGGGCGACTCGTGTCACTCCGCCCCACCCCCAATAGACTATGTGCACGTTAGCATATGCTACTTCCGGCTGCGAAACCGATAGGGGGTGTCTAGTTTCCGGTAGCCTGATGGACGACGTAGAAGTAACGTTAAACATTGTTTACTTTTCACAATGCAGCAGCGCCTGGTTACCGTAATTCCTCAAATAAAAACCGGTATTCAAATAAACGCCGGGCCTCTGATAATGGCCGGGTGCGTGATCAACGCGGACAAATAAAGGCCGGGGGAAAATTAGTGTGGATAATCTCCTAAATGACTTTCATTGAAGAGATGTTACACCTGTCCACTTCATGCGTGTTCTGTGATCTGATCGTGAAAAGACCATGTATAAATGCCATCCGAAGCACATTCGAGACAATTTAAATCCGATCGCTCAAACCACTTCTTCAGGAGGAGATCTGAGACGAGATTCCAGACGAAACTGCACAAGTGTAAATCAAATGCATCTGATTGTTGAAACCACGTATCTAAATTTTACTCCTCCCAAAAACGCTAAAAAATAAGTGTGAGAGCGTGTTATAGGCTATGTAATGTTATAGCAAGATGTGACAACGCTACTGCAACACGCATCACGGCAGCCGAGCATCTATCCATAAAGCCAACGTGCAAACTATTGCAAATTAAAGTGAAAGTAAGTCGCAGACAATTCTCCTCATCATTAAAAGTAAAGAAACGAAATGATCTTACCAGGCTTGTTGCCGCTCTCGCTTATTGCGGTCTTTTGATTTAGAAATGAGCTGATCTATCAAATGCAGCTCATATCTGTTGCTTTCGGTGACGTCCACTCCATTAAATCCGCATATAGCGTGGGAATTGAAGATTTATATCCGTTTTGCGAAAACGCATTTGTGAGCAGATTTAAGTAGAATTGTTTTGATAAATCAGAGAGCTTTCCGATCTGAGAAAACACATGAAGTGGCCAGGTGTAAACATCCCCTAATATGCATTCAAGTTCATCGTAACGTACAGCCAATAGATGGTAGTAGACAATAGATGTAACACACATATAATTTAGTGCTGCTAGTGTAACGGTCTTTTCAACAACTTTAATGAAAACGAAATTGTCTTGAGGAGCATGGAACCCAGACGGAAATTTGATTTAGATTTTTTTTAAATAAAGCGCCTGCCTCTAATAAAAGCCTGTTACCTTCTGCAGTTTAGGTAAATAAAGGCCCCAGCTTTTATTTGAGGAATTATGGTATTACCACCGACTGCCCTTTGAAAAGTGAATCGGTTTTTTTTATGTTTTAGGTCCATTGCGAACGATTAAACTAACTTAACGCCGGTCCACTGATGTAAACAAGACGGCAACCGGAAACGAAGTACCCAATTTCCACCCTCAAGCCGGAAGTTAGCATTTTTCTCGTGCACAGAGCGAATTTAATTGGTTCATAATACCGCAATCTTATTGCTGTAGACGATTCAGGTCTGAGCATGAGCATGCGCATTCTTTTATGTACGAATGGTACGAGTTTATGAATGATCTACGATTACGATGCTGTTTGGCCATACTAAATGATAACCAGGGGCGCAACTACCCAGTGTCAGAGGGGTATGCAGCAACAATTTTTGCGACAAACTTTCACAATTAGTTTTGTACTAATTTCTATACTTGAAAGATATAAGCACATGATGACATGTTCCATGGGCCGGTGTGTTAGAAAAAAAACTAACGCTGAATTTTTTTGACCAATGCATTAACTTACACCGGCACTAACCCGGCAGCGCCGCCAATTAAAGGTGCTCTATGTAGCTTTTCTTCTAAAATGAATCCTTTTTTTATTGCCTGTGTGTGAAGGGGTTGTAATCACACATTACAATGATCCACTTGTCGGGTTTTGCTATTAGCTAAGAGTAAAAAAATATATTATTTTTTTCATTCAAAGGATTGTGTCATGTTACTTACAGCTATTATAAGCAGCACACACATTAGCCAAATGAAGGGTGTTTGCTCTCCTGGGGCATGTTCAAGATCACAACGGTGCGCAACGTTTTGCTACGGTTTCCGGGTTGAACGTCATGTTTCCTGGAAACGGCGTGCACCGGTGTGCGTGCACATGCGTTTTCTCTTGTTTGGTGGGCGTGTCAGAACTGCAGTCCAATCAGCAGCAACATGTATATAAAGCACACGGTATTAAAGAGAACTCGCACAATGGAAGTAATTTACAAATATGTTCGATACGCAACAACTGAGGATATCAGAAGACATGTTTGTCGTAAGTATTATTGTAAAAATATATATCAACATAATGATGTAGTTGTTTATATTTTTAGCTTCATTGCAGGTGTGTGACATTTGGTAGGCTATAGAAATAAACAATGCATGTAAAGTGCTTTTCCTAAAAATGAGAAAGAAAATACAGGGTATTAATAAAACAGTATGAACAACAAATAAAGTCAGTATGTGAGGCTAAATAGATGTGTTTTAGTCTTTATAAGGTAAGATGTGCTTGCATTTCAGTTTCCACAAATCCCTTCACTCGATTGGGATGTTCTCTTGTGTTCTGGGCGGCAAGTGCAGTAACTGTAACATCGGGCATATGTTGTAGTATTAAACATATTTATACCGACTTAATCAGGCTCCGAAAATTCTTCACAAAGAACACAAAAAGCCTTCTCAGCTGCCGTAGTTGCAACTCTTGCGTCATCATCACAACAGTGCGTTCAACGCATCACCGTTTCTGTTTAAAAAACGTTCTGCAACGTTTTGTCGGCACTGAACGCAGCCCTGATCACAGAAGTGACGTAGATTAATTGTGACGTGTGCAAAACTGTCCCAATTCTCCTCTTCACAGCTTCGGGCCCTTGCGCACTTACTCCGCTAAGTGCACTTTCAACAACAAGTGTCCACTTCGAGGAAGACCTTAGGGCGTAGTGTGGGTATTGGGACAGGGCCAATGTCTGCATTCTGCCGCAACGCGTTTTACATTGATTCAAAATTAAAAAATGCTGAAAAAGACGGATCTCGCGGTTTAATGGATCAGTGAGTTGTTCACTCGAGAACCGCACGGACCGATTCAGTCCGACACGTGAACGAATTGTTCAGACTGATTTTCATTGAAAAGATCTGACTCAAAAGAACGAGTCGTTCACAAAAGTGATATCGCTACAGCAGATTCCCATTGACCTATTCTGGGAATGTAAGTTTCAAATATTCCCTCATGTAAATGGAAAGATATCCTATGTTACAAAGGCGAAAGTTTTTGAAGCGATATTTTTCACACCATTCAGGTAGGCCTACAAATGAGGAAACGGGGATAGGTGGGATTATTCCTCGTATCACACAAGCGCCGCTGGTGTAGTGGTATCATGCAAGATTCCCATTCTTGCGACCCGGGTTCGATTCCCGGGCGGCGCACTGCTTTTTGAAGAGAGGTAGTTGACTCGTATTGTATTCACAGTCACACACACAAACACAAAACATTCACTCATTAGCTCGCCTGTGTGTCTTCATTAGGTTATAGCTATAAATTATTAGCTATATTCATTAGCTATAAATATGCCATCTTGATTAACTTCAGGCCAAAAAAAAATCTGCATACATAATATTGAACTAGTTAAATGTTTTAGATGGGTTCTAGTCTAGATAGTATAGTAGAGTATGGTAGCCTACATCACAGCACAACACAAGACATGTCAACACAAATGATACTGTATTTTCTTGCAGAATCAGAAGTTAAGTTGAGTTTTTTTTACTTTTCAAATATGCAAAAACAGAACAGCACTGATGATGACAGTGAAACATATAATTAACTATAGTTATTAAATGTATGTGCATGATTTCGGTGGTTTGGCTGTCAGACATAATCAACCCAGAACAGTGTAACATACATTGCATTATATAAAAAAATATATATAAAGTAAAGTAGGCTATCTATGTACAAAACAGTACACAGAAAATCGATTTATTAAAGTGTTTGTTTTGCGAGTATATTTTAAATTGTACTGGGGTCC